TCTATTCTATTCTATTCTATTCTATTCTATTCTATTCTATTCTATTCCAATGTCTATTCTATTCTATTTTACTTTACTTTACTTTTCTTTATCTTTCTTCTCCTGGTTAGCCCCTGGCTCAAGTGCCCTGCCGCCAATGTGCCGTGGTGTCCAGTTCCGGGCAGATGCTGGGCTCCCGTTCGGGGAAAGAGATCGACGCCAAGGAATGCGTCCTGCGCATGAACCAGGCCCCCACCCGGGGCTATGAGGAAGACGTGGGCAGCCGCAGCACCATCCGGGTGGTCTCCCACACCAGCATCCCTTTGCTGCTACGCAACCAGAGCTCCTTCTTCAAGCCATCCTGCGACACCACCTACATCATTTGGGGTCCTCCCCGGCTGATGAACCGGGAGAAGGTCGGGCTGGTCTATCGGACCCTGGCGAAGATCAAGGAGATGTATCCGGCTCTGCGCCTCTACACCCTCACCGAGCAAATGATGTCCCACTGCGACGAGCTCTTCCAACTGGAGACGGGGAAAAACAGGTGAGCCAGAAGGCCTTCTCGCTAAGGAAGGAGCAGCAAAGCCTTGGATAGAATTCCCAGCTTCCATTCCTGGTGGAAAACTTGGAAGAAGTTGAGGTTCTCCTTTCCACCAAGAATGGAAGCTGGGACTCCTTAGTAAGGCCACACCTAGAGTCCTGCATCCAGTTTTGGTCAGCACACTGTAAAAAGGATGTTGAGATTCTAGAAAGAGGGCAGAGAAGAGCAACCAGGATGATGAGGGGACTGGAGGATAAAACATACGATAAACGGTTGCAGGAACTGGGTCTGGCTAGTCTAGGGAAGAGAAGGGCCGGGGGAGACAGGATAGCAGTCTTCCAATATTTGAGGGGCTACCCCAAAGAGGAGGGGGGCCATGCTGTCTTCCAAAGCACCTGAAGGCCAGGCAAGGAATAATGGATGGAAACTGACCAAGGAGAGATCCAACCTGGAAATAAGGAGAAACTTTCTGACAGTGAGAACAATCAATCCATGGAACACAAGTTGCCTTCAGAAGTTGTGGGAGCTTCATCACTTGAGACTTTCAAGAAGAGACTGGACTGCCACTTGTCAGAAATGGTGTAGGGTCTCCTGTTTGGGTGGGGGGTTGGATTGGATGACCTACAAGATTCCTTCCAACTCTGTTAATCTGTTAAAGATCCTAGCTGTCCATAATTGTAGACATTTCCTTTTTCTCCAGAAGTCCAACCCCACTCCACCCAAGCAGGAGACCCTACACCATTTCTGACAGGTGGCAGTCCAGTCTCTTCTTGAAAGCTTCCAGCGATGAAGCTCCCACAACTTCTGTTCCACGGGTCGGTTGTTCTCCCTGTCAGTAAATTTCTCCTTATTTCTAGATTGAATCAATCGATTAGAATAGAGTTGGAAGGGACCTTGTAGGTCATCTAGTCCAACCCCCCGCCCAAGCAGGAAACCCTACACCATTTCTGACAGATGGCAGTCCAGTTTCTTCTTCAAAACCTCCAGGGATGAAGCTCCCACCACTTCTGAAGGCAACTCCTGTTCCATTGATTGCTCTCCCTGTCAGAAAATTCCTCCTTATTTCCAGGTTGAATCTCTCCTTGTTCAGTTTCCATCCATTATTCCTTGCCTGGCCTTCCGGTGCTTTGGAAAATAGCTTGACCCTCCCTCTTCTCTGGGGCAGCCCCTCAAATATTGGAAGACTGCTATCATATCTTATGGACAAGGATTTCGGTATATGGAGACCCCCCTCCCCAGAATTTTGGCTCTGGCAGTGCAAGGAAAAACAGTCCCTGCCTACGGAGAGATTACATAGGTAGTCCTCGGCGTACAAGCACAATGGGAAGTTTGCTATGTTTTATAAACCCCACAGTCACTTCTTCATTGGCCCAGATCACAGCACTGACTATGATTAAACAAACCAGGGCTTAGCTCCGTAGGCAAACCCAACAACCAGCGCATCTGCGTTCCTCCTGCCTCAAATCTCAGCATCTTCTCTTTCCGACCCACAGGATGAAATCCGGTTCCTTTCTCAGTACCGGCTGGTTCACCATGGTTTTGGCGATGGAGTTGTGTGAGCAGATTTTTGTCTTCGGTATGGTCAGCGAGAACCATTGCAAGTAAGTAATTTGGAGGTGGTCTTCTGGGCTGGGAAGCAAAAGGAGAAGATGAGACTATCCTTCACTGTGTCCCTTACCTCTTGGGAGGCTACGCTTTTGAGCTCTGGTGGCCAGGGTGGAGAGTTGGAGAACATCTTGGAGATGTTCTCCAAAAAAGGCCACCCCAAAACACCCAGAAGACACAAAGAGGGGGAGGCTGTATCAAAAGGATAAACTCTTCCCCAGGTAAATATCTCTGGAGATTCTCTGTCATCCAGGCCATGTTTTGTCCCAAAGGTGCTTTTTTCAAAAGACAACCAGACCTTCCTTGGAAGACATTTCGCTTCTCATCCAAGAAGCTTCTTCAGTTCTTCAAAAGGCAACTGGACTTTGTTCTTCTTTGAAGACGTTTCACTTCTCATCCAAGAAGCTTCTTCAGTCCTTCAGAAGGCAACTGGACTCTGTTTTTCCTTGAAGACGTTTCACTTCTCATCCAAGAATCTTCTTCAGTTCTTCAGAAGCAACTGGACTTTGTTCTTCCTTGAAGACGTTTTGCTTCTCATCCGAGAAGCTTCTTCTGTTCTGACTGAAGAAGCTTCTTGGATGAGAAGCAAAGAAGCTTCTTGGATGAGAAGCAAAGAAGCTTCTTGGATGAGAAGCGAAATGTCTTCGAGGAAAAACAAAGAAAGCCCAGTTGCCTTTTTTGGGGGGAAAAAAAGCACCTTTGGGCCTTCCCCGGGTAAGGATAACCCCCCACCCCCAAAAAACTTTTCTCTCTGAGGCGTCAATCAATCATTTTGTTTTATTAATGGCCAGTTATTTCAGGCTGACTTTGGTGGAATGTGCAGTGTTGCATGTCAGCTCTTAACAGGCTGGTCTATATATAGATATATAGCGGTTTAAACTTGGCTCCTTCGATTGGCAGAGAGAAGAACCAACCTCCGGTGCCTTACCACTATTTTGAGAAGGGGCGACTGGACGAATGCCGGATGTACCAGGTCCACGAACGAGCTGCCCGCGGTGGGCACCGTTTCATCACCGAGAAAGCCATTTTTTCTCGCTGGGCAAAGAAAAGGAACATTATCTTCACTCATCCATCGTGGTCTGATGGGTAGAAGGGGCTTTTTGCGGCCTGGCTGGGCGGAAACTTTTGCCACAGGGCGAAGCTGCAGAAATTACAGTGTTACAGAAAGTTGGAACTCTTGCACCGAGAGCGACGTTCCCCCGTGAACAAAATATCACCGCATCTTCTTCTCTTAGCTCCCTATTTTTTAACGTTCTGTCAAGAGACCGCAAATTGTTTTGGTTTTTAATTTTCCTCTGTGTGCCTAGTTTTTTGTGGGGTGATATTTTTTTTTTTTTGCACACAGAAAAATAAAAAAAGAAAAAGGAAACTACTCTTAATGAAAATGGGAGGCCAGGGGTTCAAGGCTTCCTGTTTTGGGGTGGATTCCGGAGGCTTGAATGCAGAAGAAACGGATGTGGATGTTTTTGCGTGTTTGCAAACCCTCCTTTAAACTTTAAATTTTAAATTTGCAACCCACGAAAGCCTTTGAGAGAGAGATGACCTCCTATGTGGAACATTCCTACCCTGCTTTTAATTTGGCCAGATTTGCAATTCTGGGGGCAGAACCAGAGAAAGGAAATCCAGGTACTTAAAAGTCCAAAAACAAAAAAAAACCCTACTCCGTTGGCGCAAGCACTTTAACTAAACCAGTTTACAATGGTTTGTACAGCTTAGGGAGGCCTAAGGTGGCTTTTCCCATAGTGACATCCCCCATTCCAATGGTCTCTTTACCCCTCACCTAAGCCCAGAGTTCCCAGGATAGGCCGTCCTCCAATTACGACCACATTTGGGAGCGGACTGTCCGTGGCTAAGCAAGGCAGGGGCTTAAAGGGCTTGCTTCTTCCCACCCACCACCAGTCCCCGTGGTTCTAAAGCAAACCATGCAGATGGTAAGTGACTCACTTGGTCGTGGAGCAAAGCCTAGCTTCTCCCTGCTTGGTTGCCCAGCACCCACATTTTGATCCTGGAGGAGGGGGCAGGATGCTGTGACGGGGGCATGTTGGCTCCAGGTTTGGCCATCCCTGTTTGGTCGTCTGTGGCAGATGGTTTTGAGGGTAGCGGCCGCAAAAACTGGGGTGGGAATAATTGGAAGAATTTGGTGTGGGGTGTGCAGGGGTTAGAGCAGCATCCTGAAGTCCCTTCAGTGGAGATTCAACTGTGGCTTAAAAATAAATTTTCAATAAATTTGGTTTATTCTTCTGCCTCTTGCTTGTTTTCCTCTTTTTCCCCTTCCCTTTTTCCTTCTTTCCTTCCTTCTTTCCTTCCCCCCTTCCCTGCCCTTCATCTCCTCTCCTTCCTTCCTTATTTTCTTCCCCCCTTCCCTGTCCTTCCTCTCCTCTTTCCTTCCTTCCCTCCCTCCTTCCTACCTTCCCTTTCCCCTTTCTTGCCCCTCATTCTAATTTTAGTTCCATGAAATTGAACTTAAGGCTTGGGGAAGAAGGAGACCAGCTGGGAATCTCTCTCTCTCTCTTTTCTTTATTTCTTCTTTCTCTTTTTCTCTTAACTCTTTCTTTCCTTTCCCAACTCCTCCCTCCCTCTTCCTTCCTTCCTTCCTTCCTTCCTTCCTTCTTTCCTTCCTTCCTCTCTTTTTCTTCCTTCTTTCCTTTCTCTTTCCCACTTTCTCTCGGTTCGTTCCTTCCTTTCTCTTTTTTTCTCTTTTCTTTCTTTCTCTTCTTTGTCTTTCTCTTTCTTTCTTTCTTTCTTTCTTTCTTTCTTTCTTTCTTTCTTTCTTTCTTTCTTTCTTTCTTTCTTTTCTTTCTTTCTTTCTTTCTTTCTTTCTTTCTTTCTTTCTTTCTTTCTTTCTTTCTTTCTTTCTTTCTTTCTTTCTTACTAAATTATTTGCTCATTCATTCATTCAACTTGTGTGCTGCCTATCTCAATGCAAGCTGACTCTTTTCTTTCTTTTTCTTTCTTTCTCTCTTGCTCTCTTTTCCTCTTTCTCTCTTTCTCTTTCTTTCCCTTGCCTTTCTGCAAACTGGATTACTCAAGGCATATGTGGGAATCTTCCCTCTGTCTGTGCATGCCTGTGTTTGCACTCATCCGTACTCTTTCTCCACTCACATGGCTTCCTCAGTTCCCCCACTTCCATTCTTGTCTGCCACCAGTCACCAATATCTGTGGATTAGTGCCAAAACCAATAAACCTTTGCACCAAAGGTTTGCTGGGTTTGTTGTGCACATCTGTTTGTATTCCAGTTTTTCGGACAGTTTCAACGGGGCAGAGATAAACCATGGCTTGCTAGCTTATGTTTTGTTAGGTTGGACTTTAGCTGGTTTGCATGCAACAATTTTCACATTCTGAGTGCTTTTTAAACTCAGGATTTCTCTTTTTCTTGTTACAGTTTTCTGGATTTGACCCAAAGGGGCACATTATATTAGCCAGTTCTTATTCCTCCTCCTCTTCCTTTTTTTTTTGCAAAATCTGAATAGTTGCCAGTTGGAAATATATTCCTTATAACTGGCATCAACCACTTCTGAGTCATTAGCTCTCTAGAAATAAAAAACTGAATTAAAAGAATTGCTAAAACTCAGGTCACACCACCGGAATAAACCAGGCAAGGGGATCAGAAGAAAGATTTGATGGGGAAAGGGGACTGCAACTCCCATCATCCTTGACTAAGGCCTCATTTTTGAGAACCTGCCAGGGGCTCCCCAAACCCCTGAATTTTTTTTGGACGGGGTGGGGAATGCGATGATGAAGAGATTAAAGGTTCCTTTATTTTACTTCCAAGCAGGAATTTATGTTTTGTTCCCTCGTTTCTGGTTTTTAAATCAAACTTGTGAGCCCAGAATTGCTGCATCGGTAGGATGAGAACAGACCATCTTTTGTTGGAGGTTAAAAAGAGACAAAACGAGACATTCCTTTGGCATTTGAAATTTGTGGAATTTGCAAGCATTGTGTAGTTTGGTCAATCCCTAAAAACAAAATCTGCTATTTGCAAACCTGTGAACAGCAGCCAGCTTCGAGTCTTTGAACCAAGACAATTTTCTAAACAATAGTTTTGTGTGAAACTGCATGTTTACAAGTGTGGGCTATAAATGCCTTTCCTTTCCTTTTTTTTTTAACTAAAAAAAAATCCCAGTCTTATCCCTTGGTAAGCCTATTTTAACCAGCACAGAGATCTGCAAGAAGTGATCCAGGTTTCTATGGCAACTGAATTTGGAAAGAAGAAGAGAGGATATACCAAATCCTTTCTGAACAAGAAAAAAAAAAGCTGCTTTTTAGATGTCTCCAAAAAATTTTTTTCCAACAGTCTTCTAAAGGCAAGTCGTTCCACTGATTAATTACTCAGAATAACAGAGTTGGAAGGGACCTTATAGGTCATCTAGTCCAACCCCCTGCCCAAGCAAATGGCAGTCCGGTCTCTTCTTGAAAGCTTCCTGGGATCAAGCTCCCACAACCTCCAAAGGCAACTTCTGTTTCATGGATTGATTTTTCTCTCTGTCAGGAAATTCCTCCTTATTTCCAGGTTGAATCTCTCCTTGTTCAGTTTCCATCCATTATTTCTTTGGGTGCCTTGGAGAATAGCTTGATCCCTTCCTCTCTGTGGCAGCCCTGGCTGTCACGAAATTTTCTCCTTAGTTCAAGGAGAGAAGCAACCTAGAACTAAAGATAAATTTGCTGGCAGTGAGAACAATTCATCAGTGGAACGACTTGCCTCCAGAACTCGTAAATGCTCCAACACTGGAGGTTTTTAAGAAAAGATTGGATAAGCATTTATCTGAAACAGTATGGAGTTTCCTGCGTGAGCAGGGGTTGGACTAGAAGGCCTCTAAGGATCCTTCCCATTCTGTTATTCTGCCTTGCAAGAAGAACCTTTAAGAAGATCCAGAAAATGCAGTGTTTCAGTTTTAGGAATGTCTAGTAGTTGTAATAACCTAGGAGGCAGTAGTTCTTAACTTACGATGAGTCACTTAACAACCATCTGAAGTTGCGAAGGACTTCTACAGGGTTACTTATAACCCATTTTCTGCCAAAGGATTTCAGTCTTTCAGCCAGAAGAGAAAACCTCCCATGTATGCAACAGGCTGTTAGTCCAGCTTGAATCAGCTCTTTTATTATGAACCACGAGGACTAGAATATTGATCAGTTTAGGGTGAAACGTAGTAGTTTGGATATTGCCTGCTGAAACACCCCTTTTTTTCCCAATCCTTGGGTGGGTGGTTACCTCTGTCTGCAGGGGGATTTGACAATTGAACCAAGAATTTTGAGTCAATCCAAGATATATTGTCCTGTTCCCACAACGTATCTGCATAGAATGCGAAGGATGTGTGTTGGTGTTTTATTTCGATAGCTATAATGTACCTTGAAGATGGCATTTAAATTTCATTGTACGAGGTGCAATGACAATAAAGTCAACTAAATTAGTCTGAAAAGTTCAGGATTGCCAGAGATAGGAAGCAAATAAAATTTCCTAAATAGGTTTTACATCTGCAGACAAATGGTTTCCCTAGTTCAGTGTTTAATATAGGTTATTCTTGACTTGCATCACTAAGCATCCCACGATGCTATGTTTGCTTAGTATTAGCAAATGGGATAATGTGTGTTCAATCAATTAATCAAAATACAGCTGGAAGGGACCTTGGAGGTCTTCTAGTCCAGCCCACTACTCAAGCAGGAGACCCTATACCATTTCAGACAAGGGGCTGTCCAGTCGCTTCTTAAAAACCTTCAGTGATGAAGCCCCCACAACTTCTGAAGGCAACTTCTGTTCCACCGATTAATGACCCCCTCCCCTTTGGGGGCAGCCCCTCAAATACTGGAAGGGCTGCTATTGTGTTATCCTTCTTTAAACAGAATTTGCATTATGGGGTCCCATTTCTGAAACTCCCGTTCCAAGTGGTTAAGTCTTCTCCATCTTTCTCTAGACTAGCCAAACCCAACCCAACTGCAGTCGTTCTTCATACCTTTTCGTCTCCTTTTTTTAAATCTTACATTTAGCATGTGGAGTAATCCCCATCCAGTTTGCTCAAGGCAGGTATGAACAAGCTGTCCAGCCCCAGAAAAAAAAAAAAGAGAGAGAATAGATTTAGAATTCCTGGGTTTAAAAAAACAACAACAACATGTGGATTATTGTGACCTCAGCAAACAGGGCTTGAGATCCGCCTGCTTGGCACACTTTGATATCGATCCATCCCCATCTGCGTCAGCCTGAAATCCTTTTGTCCAACCAGAAAAGAAACAGAAAAAAAGAGAGAGAGAGCCAAAAACCCTGGGAACAAGCTGGCCATTTTCTCGGCACGTTCCCCAGCAGCTGCCATCAACTTGGAAGGCCGGTCCTTGGCATTCTCCTTTTGGAAGCTGCTGAAATTGGATCAGGGCACAGCAGGAGGAGGAGGAGGAGGAGGAAGAAGAAGAAGAAGAGGGAAAGCAGAGAGGGGGAAAAAAAAAGACGCACACTAGGACCCAGAAAATATTCCTGCCTTCCAGATTTTCTCACTGGATGCTCTTGCTACGGTCTTCCTTCCGAGATGCACTGCCCCTAAGACGGGGGTCCAGCTTTGGAGCAGAGGGGGGGAAGGACAGAAGAGAGAGAGAGAGACCCCCTCAACCCCAATTTTTGCTTTCTGGAATTTGGAGCTGGCTCGGAGGCAACCCAAAAATGCCAGCTTGGTCTTTGCCCTTTTAATCCCTCCGCTCCCTGGCACTTGGGTGGCTGGACCAGCGGGTGAGTTAACCCCTCCAGGGCCTTGCCCAGAAGACTGGATTTTTTTTGGTGGGGGGGGGGGGCAGGGAGGGGGAACCCCCCCCCCCCCCCCAAATCCCGGCCACCATCTACCTGATTTTCTCCCCCCCCCCTGTTGGAACAGGAAGTCTCGGGGTAGTCAATCCCCTGTTTTGGGAGCGGTGTGCAGAGGAATGGGTGGAGGAGTTGGAAAGATTTGCAGCTGGAAAAGCCTTTAAAATGCACACAAAACCCCCCCTCAACACCCCACCACTTGCAATGCCCAGAATTCAAAAGAAAAAAAGGGGGCACGCACAGGTTTGCCAAGGCGAGGGAGGGAAGCTGGGTGGATGGCATGACTGAACCAGTTTTGGGGTGAGGAAGGGAGGCGATTCCCAATGATTGGGGTACAGAAGCTGCCCAGATCTTGGGATCGCTCTTTTGGGGCAGGCAGGCAGGCAGGCAGGGGCTTGGCGTTTTGGATGGTGAGGGCTGCCTGGGCATTTCCTGGAAAGCTGAAGGGGCCGGGCAGCCCTCTCCCCGCTTCCGAGAACCAGCGGCTTTGCTTAAAATGGATGCTGGCAGCAGAAAAGGTGTGTGGGGGGGGAGTGTTGGAAAGCTTGGCCTGAGTGATTTGTTCCTCTTGAGCCAAAGGAAGTATTTTCTGTGTCAAGCGGTTGGTTGATTGATCTCCCCCACCCCCCAGTTACAGTCCAATTGAGCAGGGAGAAGAGATTGTAATATTTCTATTTCTATAAGTTCTATTTCTATTATTTCTATTCTATTTCTATTCCTTATTTCTATTCTATTTCTATTACTATTTCTATTTCCTTCCACGCACCCAACCTTCCTTCCTTCCTTTCTTTCTTTTCTTTCTTGCTTCCTTTCTCTTTTTCTCTCCTTCACTCTTTTTTTTCCTCTTTTTCTTTCTTTCTTGTCCTGAATAGTATAGTCTCCTGTTTGAGCAGGTGGTTGCGCTAAAAGACCTCCAAGGTCCCTTTCAACTCTGTTATATAATTTCTGTTACTGTTATTTCTTTCCTTCCTCCCTTCCTCCCTCTTTATTCTTTATTTTCTTTTCTTTCTTTCCTTCCTTCCCTCCCTCTTTCTCTCTGTCTCTCTTTCTTTCCTTCCTTCCCTCCTTCTCTCCCTCTTTCTTTCTTTTCTTCCTTCCTTCCTTTCTTTGCATCCTTCCCTCCCTTTCTTTCTCTCTCTCCTTCCTTCCCTCTCTCCCTTTCTTTCTTTCTTTTTTCCTCCTTTCCTTCTCTCTCTCTTTCTTTCCTTCCTTTCCTCCCTCTCTCACTTTCTCTCCCTCCCCCCTTTCTTTCCTTCCTTCCTTCCTTCCTTTTGCTTATAAACCTGGCACTCCTTTTTTAATGGTCCTCCTGACATGCATCCCGGTTATTCCACAGCCCTGCTTGCAAATTCTCTCTTTGGACCCCAGCCATGATGTGAGGCTAAGAGAAACAAAATCCAGACACATGGAAGATCGGTCCGGAAGTCAGAAATGGCGCCGTCGACACGAAGGAAAAGGCCCTGCCAGCTGTGCCCCGGCTTTCATTCAAAGGAGACATCTCGCCATGGTAAGTGAGGGGTGACATCGGGTGTCCTTCCTTTCCTCCAGATTATTTTTTTTCCTTTTGAATATATAAAATATATTCCCAAATCCCCTGCAATTCATACCCAGCTTGGCCTTGGCAGAAAAATGGGGGAAATATCCTCACTTCTATTTGTGACTTAAATCAAAAAAGAAATATTGTTGCTTGCTTTCTTTCTTTATCAACAAGGCACTTTTATTTCTTGTTTAACAGAGAGGAGACAGAGATTACATAGAGAAATTGGGACAACAAGGTTAATCTAAGCAGATAAGATTATTCTCTCCCTTGGATTTTCTCCTCCCTTGCTAGACCTGTAAGGGTTTCTCCCATGCTTCCCTCCCTCCCTCCTTTCTTTTATGGAAAATTCGTCTATTTTTCCAGTCGCTGGCTGGGAGTGGTTTTCAAACAGAAGGATGTGCTTCCATTTGAACCTCAGAAAAAACAAGAAGGGAAAAAAATGGTCTGTTTCTGGGTCGAGATACTTTTAGGTACTTTTGGATAAAGTATTTCGGATTTCCCTGAGTTTTAAATCGTCACTTGGTATTGGGCATCGAAACGATGCTTCTGTACGCTTCATCCTTGGCTGACCGAATTCTTTTTCTGCCATTTTTCAAGTTGGGACTCCCAAAGCCCAATAAATAATATTCGCTGGAAAGGTTTATTAAGATGATGTAATTTAGAACTGAAAGACAAGGAGAAGCTTCAGGTTGCCAGATTGGGAGCTTCCAAGAGGTTGCTTATAAGATGGCATGGCTATAGAAATGGTTTAAATAAATAAGACTGGATCTTGAACAGTGTTTTATGGAGTGATTAAGCTCATCTGTATTCAGTCAGCCTGTAAATAAATGCAAAATACCCTGCCAAAATTCCTTTCAAAGGAATTCCTTTCTTCTTGGACAAAATAAAATGTCCAATAAAATGTTTATTAAGTTTTAATAAAACTTAAAATTTAAGTTCTTCTTATGTGGATGATCAAATAATTGCAAACTTGGTCGTCTTCTTTCCTTTCTCCTTCTCTTTCTCATCTATCCTCTCTTCTTCCTTCTCCTCCATCTTCTTTTCATCTATTTTCTCCTCCTCCTCCTCCTCTTCTCCTTCCTCTTCCTCCTTCCCAGAAGATTCCTAATAGCTAATCCTTTCCAGGGCTGGGGCTGATGGGACGGACTCCAGCTCCTTTGGGGAGGGAGACAGAAAGGGGAGGGATAGAGAAGGGCGGGGCAGGAGAAGAGTCGAAAGCGAAATGCAAAACGAGAGAAGAGAGACATGAACTTGAAAGGCGTTGGCAGGGCCAAAATGGGGCAAAGGACTCTAGCCCCCATCATCCTGTCTTGGAAGGTGAGGTTTTTAGCAGCCCCCCCCTCCCCAGAATATAAAGAGTGGGGGGAGGGAATTTCCATCTTTCCAGGACAAAACAAGTCCATTTTCCTGCACAGTTTAACCTGTTGCATACATTCTGTTTAATATTTGCACCTTTGCAAAAAAATTTCTTCTTCTTCTTCTTCTTCTTCTTCTTCTTCTTCTTCTTCTTCT